ATTTTTCATAAAGGCATAGGTATATCAAATCAAATCACACATTATTTGTCAAGTCATATAACATATCTGTTAATTTCGAGGTAATCTTGCTACTCTGGCAAAATATCTAGAGTGTTATAAATTAAGTGTTATACAGTAATCTTAAGTGTTATACAGATTTATCGATCGAGAATGAAAATTGCTCTTAGCGTGAATCTCGATTACAAAAGTTACCTCAGATTCACCAATCGAAAACGCCATAAGTCTTACAATAATAAGCGAAGGCAAATTTACGAGTACTTAGAAACCAATTTTATTTTTTATGGTAATAACATCTGTAAACTTTCAACATTGGTAGAATACCATTGTCAATTTAACATAAACAGTCAGACTTAGAAAATGTTTTAGTAAAAATTATTTATTATGAACTACAATGATTAATGATCCACACATTGTCTTGGCAGTTATGTATAGTTTTTTTAGTCTGATACATTTTTTTTATTTTTACGAGTTTCATAGTCATTTTTATTTTTAATTTGACCACAGGTAGAAGATTGTATATGCGTAAACAATAAGAATACCAAACTTCAGCTTCAATACTAATTAAATACCTTAATTTCAATACGAATGTCTTGTAAAACATAAGAATTATGAAATGACTTAGGGCTAATGCTGGAGTCTGCGTCATTTTTAATCTTTTCTCATATTTATTGTTATAAATAAATTATATACATACGTATAATATAATCTTTTTAATCAAAATATAATAATATGTAGTTTAAAAACACAAGAAAAAGTCAAAAAATATCGAAATATTTCATATAAAAAAGCAGACAAAATCATTTAAAATTAGTATCAGCATCAGTATGAGCATCACTATCAGTACGAATGTCAGTATAATGATCAGTATGAGTATCAGTATGAATATCAGAATGAGTATCAATATCAGATTCTGTGTCATCATCATTATAAGTATTGTTGTGAGTATCAGTATCAGTGTCCGTATCCTTGTCTCTACCAGTTTCGGAATAAGTATCGTTATCGTTATGATTGTAGTCATTACAATCATTATCGGTATTCTCTATCAGTATTATCAGGATCAGTATTAACATGGTGATAATGATACAGAGCATCAAACTACTTTAAATATTTTTTCGTTTCATAGCTTTAATGATTTACATATAAAGAAAGGAAAGAAAACTTTACAGTTTAATACAAAGGAAAAGTATTTTACAGAAGCTTTTAGAAATATAAAAGTAAAGATCAACCGACATCTTACTTTAATAAACATAATAATACATATTTATAACAGTGTGTGTTAGTGGTGAAGAAAGGAACGAGTCTCCAACAATTAGCTAAAAAAGTCGTTTTGAATCCACTTAACCTCGTAATAGTGGGTAGTAGAGAGAAGGTCAAACTAGACCCAGCCAAAGGCATTTATAAAGGCAAGAATCTGGCCAATGCTAATGCTTGAGATATCGCCGTGTGTGTTGAAGAAGGGGGCTCTCAGAAACTTAAGCCTAGTTCTGGCCAAACCCGGACATAAACACCTAA